CTATGTTAAGATAATGTATCTTGCCGTAGTATCTGAACGCGTTATCTAGATACACAAATGAATAGCCCGAAGTCCTTCAACCTTATTTTTCATTCTTTTTTGAAAATTAAAGATCTTCAAACACTTCGTTAGAAAACATTCATTTTTTAATTCATTTTCTTATTCAAGAATGATTAAATATATTTCGAAGAAATCATTCACCCATATTCATAAATCATGTGGTATATATAGAAAACGTAAAATGGTAGACGTTTTACTGCTCCCCGAGGGCCGATACGAGGAAGACCAACTGCCCCAAATGTTTTTTTTAAATGTTATATAATTTTTTTTTTTAAATAAACATATTGGTAATTCCATTTGATTTATTTAATAGATTTTTATCCTATTTCAGGACCAGAATGGGTGTTCTCTTATAAATATTATCTTTCTAAATTGTTTCAATTTGAAATAATGACTGCTTTTACCGTTGTGCCGAACAAAAAATCCACCTCAACACTATCTGAATTTAACTCTCCTATACAAGTAAACTTTATAAATGTTAAAACAATATATGTCTTAGTTTCTTGGGATAGAGTCTATAGATCGGAGCTTAAGGCTCTTTTTATGATGTACATCGAATAATGATTTAAAAAAAAAACTGTGGATAGCCGGTGGAAGTTATCAATTGATTATCTTATCTAGTGGAGAAAATCATGTCAAAGCATCTTCTGCAAGATGTTCGATTCGGTTTATAATCAGAGGTATTTTAAAAGCAAAATCTGTGATAGTATTTTTTGTAAAAAAATAGTTTTAACAAAGTCAATCGAAATGAGTTTTGAGGTAGAACATCATTTTTACATGCGAGTGAACTTTACTTGTCGTAAATATTGTGTTTATTAATGTGATGTAGAGCCCACGAAAAAGATGACATGAAAAAACACCACGATCTCGAGTTAAAATAATAATATATGCATCCCACCGACAGTGTATTCGTCGAGTTAGGGGACGTGTCTTTGTCATCCACCGGACCTTAGCCCATTGCTTTACTACTAAACAAAGTATATTAAATCTTAAAATTCGATATTTGCTGTAAACGGTGGAATAAATTAATTTATATTACCAATAATACATTGAGAAAATATCAAAATAAGAATAACAAAAATATATATTAATGTCAGTTTATTTTCTTTAATGGTAGGTAGAGTCAATAGTATTATTACTACATAAGACTTGCCAATATGTTACAAAAAAAAAAAACAGTTTTCTCAAAAAAAAAGAAAAAATGTTATAAAAAAACAGTTTGAATCGTAAAAATAGTAGTGTTTTGGTGCATGGACCGAAATTGGAGTTGTCAAATATAGCTACAAATGTTTTATGTAACAAAAATACATGTAAGGGTGCACAGTACACATACTATTTCTAAAGATTAGTGTGTATTTGATATGGGATCCTTGGTTGGTTATATGAAAAAGAAAAAGAAAAAAAGATTTTACATGTTGGCCAGAAAGCTCAATCATGATGATGGTTGGCTAAACCCAAATAATAATCCAAAACTGGTGTTAGCTGTAACGTAACATGTAGAAAGAAATACAAGCATACTG